TGTGTGTGTGTGTGTGTGTGTGTGTGTGTGTGTGTGTGTGTGTGCGTGCGTGTGTGTGTGTGTGTGTGTGTGTTTTCATGTTGACGCTCATCGTCTCACATCAAACGTGACTGTGCTCTCAGCTAAATGCGGAAACAATTTATAAATGGAAGAAGAAAAGACAGCATCATAGAATATTATAACAACCGTAATATATTATGCTATGTATAAATCGTCCACGTAAAAAAAAACAACACCCCATAGACAACAACATATATTTTGGGAGCGTAATAAAAAAAAGAAGTGATTTATAACTCGGAGCAGAAATAAATAATAGTATCCAGGATGAAATCAGATTGAACTGTGATGGGACTGTTTGGGTTTCTTATCCGAAGTGGGATATTTGTAGAGGGGACACGAAGAAAGAGAAGTCCCCTCCTGGACAGGTGTGATGGCCAGCAAATGCTCTCAAGGTTGGCTATGCCATTCTTGACTAAAAAAGATTTGCAGCAGCCATTCCTATCAAAAGTATCCCTCTTTGCATTATACTTTTTATAAACATGTGTTTTAAAATGAGCTTGACAAAGCGTGAGAGCTGAAGCTGGAATATGTAGGGGGGGGGGGAGATAGGGTGGAGCTAAAAATAGGATACAAAAAGTCAAATGACAGGCGTTTATTTGTTGTTGTTTTTTCTTCTGTTACGTGCGTATATCTCGGGATTTGTTACCTTGAGCGGTTGTCGGTCGTAGAATAAGTGATGAAGGGGCTAAAGAAGGGACGATGATGTGAAAATGAAAAAAATGATTGTGAATGTTTTCCCCCCCTCTGAATACATTTAGGCAATTTTTGAGGCGGGCTGCATCGAGCCAGCCTATCATAGCCAACCCAGCCTGAATGAAAGATAACATTCCAGAAGAAAGACGAAGATACAATTTTAACATAATAGGCTTCCCCATGCGGTATTTGAACTCATGTTTTCTGCATGCAACGGGGAAGAGCCGTAACATTACAAAAACAACCCTGTAGTGCAAGTTTGGGTGCATCAAGTTGGAAGAAATCGTACGAAAAAAAGGGGGATGATAATGTTATACATATGTTATGATTTCAAAGCCAAGTAGTGTTTCTTTGCCATTCTGAAGTTCTGAGTATCCAGTTATTTGTCCTGATAGATATGGAGAGGTTCAAGAGAAACACATGAGCGATGGCGATAAAAGGGGGAAGGGGG